GTGTTAGGTGGGAATTGGGTTTAGTTCTCTGTCTCTGTTTCTCTTTCTCTCTGTCTTTCTGTCTGTCACTCACTCATGTTCACTCTTATTCTCTCTCTCTCTCTCTCTGTCTCTCTCTCTCTCCCTCCCTCCCTCCCTCTCTCTCTCTCTTTCTCTCTCTCACACACACAAACACATAATGTTCACAATAAATACCTACAAATCAGTAAGAAAATGACAAATTTTAAATAGATGAAGACATGTTCCTCATTATTACTTCTCAAGAAAATTCTATTTAAAATAATAACTTATCAGCATTTATCCACAAAGATTGAAATAAAGATTAATAGTACCAAGGACTAGTAACTACCATGGGGGATGCTGATGCTGGTGAAATAGTAGGTCAATAATTCCTCTGTGAAATCTGTGAAAATATGTGTCTATACAAGATGACTGTACTCCTCCACTGACTCAACAATGCCAGTGCTGGGTATAGATAGATACTCAAGAGGGAGAGAATGTGCTGGCACACATTCAACACATAATATTTATATTTATAATTTATAGTCACCTAACTGTGTGACTGACCTAAATTACAACCAGCAGAAAGGAAGAGTATGACATATGTACTTGAGGAAATTCTACAAATTAAAGAAAGAAGAAACAAATATTCTGAGTTCCCTACCAACTTAACGAGCTCTCGATGGTATTTTAATTCTTCATTTTAAAGGACAGTTTAATAGAAATAAGGCTATCCTTCACAATTTTCTGCTAAATGTTTGCTTTACTCTCATGAGAATACTTTTGCCCATATTTTTTTCCTGTATTCTTTGAGTACCTTTAAGATTCTTAACTAACTGGCAAAGACCAATGAGAACAGATTCTCCTGTGTTTAGAAACCCACACAGTTCCTGTGGCCCCATTTGTTCCCTTCAACACTGTGATAGCTGCTGAATCTCAGGTTTAAATAGCTGACTTGTTCCTACTGAATTCCTTAGTGCTGTCATAGGTTGCTAGCCATCCTACCTGTAACTTAAGACAGCGATTGGAAGTTTGCAATTTTCTCTTCTTTCCATTCTTGCACTGCTACAAAAGGTAAAAGACTAGGTGTGTGTGTGTGTGTGTGTGTGTGTGTGTGTGTGACCTGAAAATTGATCTGCAAAAAACATAAAGCCAAGGCTCACATATTCATCTGTTATACCAGAACCTGAAAAGCAAGAGTTTAGTGTCATCCTTGGCCATGCAGAGAGTTTGAAGATAGCATGAAACCTAGTCTCAAGAAGACAAAAAAAACCCAAAAAACAAAAAAAAAAAAACAATGGATAAGAACAACAAATGTATGTGCGCATGGGCAAAAAGAGAGATTTTATGTCATCCTAAAAAAGTTTTGTTTAAGCTTGCTTTTAAAGTAAGAGTTACTTCAGGGCTGAAAAGATGTCCCAGTGGTTAAGATCACTCCTTGCTCTTGCAGAGGACCTGAGTTTGGTTCCCAGCATCCATATCTTGAGGCTCATAGACAGCTATAGCTTCAGGTCAGGGGATCCAGTGTCACCTCCAAGCATTCACAGACACATGTGGCTTACATGTGCACACACACACATACACACACACACACACCCCTACACACATATACACATACACATAAATAGAAATAAAATTATAAAGTATGAATTAATTTGAATCATCTTATTTAAAGGAAGGTATTAGTTTAGCATGACTTATTAACCTAAGGGAATTTTTGTTCCAGTGTAACAGTGGAAAACAGATAAGGTTGTGTATAGTATTACTTAGAAGTTGCTGTGCATTCAAATATCTGAAGCCTATCCAAATAAGCTGAAACATAAGATGCTGCAAGATAAGGCCGTATTCAAACTTGTAGTTAGAACATTTTATTATTGTGTTGTCAATCCTGTCAGTGATGGCAATGGCAGCAGTAACAGCAAGCTGAGCTGCCAATATTTTAAGAGCAAACAACATTTATAGTAAGATGTAACTTTATATTGTTAGTTTATTTTTTATTGAAAAGATTTTTTTTTCATAAAATATATCCTGATTACAGGTTCCCCCTCCTCCCACTCCTCCTAGGTCCTCTCCATCTCCTCACTCACCCAAATTCACATCCTTTCTTGCTCCCTCTCATTAGGAAAATAATAAAATACTAAGAAACAAACATTAATGAAAACAAAAAACACATTTTTTTCAAAGCATAAGGAACACATTGGCATGCACAGAAATCACCTAACACAAAACTATAATATATAGGCAAAGAACTATAGGGTAAGAAAAAGAAAGAAATGCTCAGGCAAATCATTATGAGACAAAACAAAGCTCCAAAAGTACATTGAGTTGGTTTTATGTTTGCCATCTACCGCTGAGCATGGGGTCTGCCCTTCACTGTTGTTTGTTTACCCAGTGAGATTCCATGAAACTAACTTTTCATTCGTGAGTGGTTTTCAATTGAAGATAGCTTCTGTTTTAGGAATTAGGACCTGTGTCTACTGCCCCTCTCAGCATCGGGACTCCATCAGCCCCAGACCTGTTCATTTTGCCACAGTCTCTGTGAGGTCACACCCCAGTCCTGTTGTATCTAGAAGGCCTTGTTTTCTTGGTGTCCTCCATCCCCTCTTGCTCTTCCACAAGGTTGCTTGAGCCATAAGGTGAAGGGTTTGATAAAGACATCCTGATTCAGACTGAGTGTTCCAAGATCTCTCTGCATTGTCCAGCTGTAGGTCTCTGTATTTATTCCCATCTACTGCAGAAGGAAGCTTCTCTGATGATGGCTGAGGAAAACATTGATCTATGAGTATAGCAGAATGCCATTAGTAGTCATTTTTGTGCTATGTTCCTTTAGTAGAAAAGTAGTATTTGGCTTTCCCCTAGGTTGTGTGACTATCTGGTCTTAGGTTCTTCTCTGTGTAGACACCAGCGCAACTTCTCCATCTTCAGTGAGTTGTGTAGATGTTGTCTTCAGCAACAGCACTCTATCTTACACATAGAACCCAACCAATAGCCTTGGCAGTAACCTGGTTTGTTGGGGTTTTTCATAAGACCCCTTTGGCTAGCAATTACATTAGATGTACCCCCATCCCTGACATTGGAAGCTTCATTTGGTGATGAAATATGTCCAGTTGGGGCTCTGTCTACCCCACTATTTGGAAATTTTATTTGAATCATCTTCACATATGTATATATTTTAGGAAGATTCTACTATATTAGATTTCCATATGAGCCTTCAAATGACTCTTTTCATAGACCTTCTGTCTCCTCTTCTTCCCTCTCCCCTATTTATGGGTAAGGCAGCTAAGGCATATTTTTGATCCTGTACGATATAATACTTGCCAAATAAAATGCTGTTATCAAAAGATATGGTAAGATGTTAACACTATAACAATTATTGTCTCTCAAAAAAGCCATGTTTAATGTGCCATTTGATCAGAATTACTTAATTCTATGTAAATTATTGTACTGTATCATACTGTACTATATTGTATTGTATTTGTATTATATTTTAATGATAAATGAAGATCATCTTATTACTTTTTTATTTATAAACACATTATTTAAGTCTAGTATACCTTGATACCTGACTTATCAAGAGATTTTTGTTTAATGCATGTGGTTTAAATCAAATATAAATCTGATTCATCCTCAAATTTTTTAAAAGAATTTTTATCCAGAATTCAATGTACACTAAAACTGAGGTACAGGAGAACTAAGTAAAATCCTCGAAGTACTATGACATATCGAGCTGACTAGTTAGACTGTGACCTTTGTAGCCTCAATATATCATATCACAAACTGGCAACTGGCCAGTGTTTTATGCATGTTAAGATCCATGATCACTTAATTTTGCATGAGTCTGGGTTTCAGAGACCTATAGGACATACAGAAGCCAACTAGATAAGTGTCCAAAACATCAAATGATGGCTAGATGGAGGAAGCTTGTTCTGGGTCCTCATGTACAGACATTAACATATGAGATGCTTTCAAGAGAGTAGGAAGACCAGAAATCCCTGGTACCTGCCCTGAGAGTGGCAGGACAAGAGTCCATGACTGTTAGGAAGAAAGTCACTGGAGAGAAAGGTTGGAGCATCCGGTAGATATTACTGCCAAATAATAACTCTGAAGGGGTGTATTCAACAGAATCAAAGATATCACCTATCAGGAAAGATAAAGGCTGAGCCTGTCTACTAAATTTATCATTCTGTTGGTTATTCGGGACTCTCAATAAAGTATATGTGTTCAAGTTTTGGTTAGCAGAAATTAGAGTTTAGTAAGGTAGTCAAGGAGTCAAAGGAGTTGTACCATACAGTAGTGTAGCTATGGTCTATTTATGTCTATCATGCACTTAAAACACAGAGACTACACATTGAAATAACTATAATATGCACAAGATTTCAAAAATTTGTTACAAAAATGATAAAAATAAAATTTTTCTTGCTAATTTTTATTTTGATTACATGCTAAAATGATATTTTGTGTAAGTGAAGCTAACATATGTGGGTTACTTTTCCATGTCTCTTTTTACCTTCTAATGCAACTGCTGGAAAATTTAAAACTACCCAAGCTTATGGCTTTCATTTACTTCCATTGAGTGGCAGGAGTGTGGACTTTGGTCTTAAGAAGTTTTGTTAGGGGACACAAGACAGGAAGGAAGTGGTGAGGTGTGTTCAGTAAGAGGGACTGTGGAGTCAAGTTTCTGGTGGGGTGTGGGACTTATCCAGAAGACATCATGTTCTGTGGAATGTGGCCCAAATGGAAATGAGGTCAGACCTAAACACAGATAAAAAAAAAAAATAGGGTGAAAGTACAGACAGGAATCTTGAGGTACATGGCATGTAAAAAGCATTCAGGGTTCTATGAGGAATACATTTTTTTACTAAATTAGAACTTTACATATTTGAACTATAATTTTTGTCATAAAGAGGTCATTAGCTTGTAGGAATTTGTTAGGTAATAATGAAGGCTTGTAGTTGTTCTAAAACTAAAGGGCTCTTCTTGGAACATCATGCTGTTTACAGGAGAGTTTGATACAGTGCAGAGTCCCTCCACACCGATCAAAGATCTTGATGACAGAACATGTAGAAGTTCTGGGTCAAAGTCTCGAGGAAGAGGCCGGAAAAATAATCCCTCCCCACCTCCGGACAGTGACCTGGAGGTATGTCTGCTTATTGCTGTAAAACATAAGATACTTGATTTACTGGATGATATAGAAATGCTTTATATATCTAGTAAGTTTCAAATCTATCTATCTATCTATCTATCTATCTATCTATCTATCTATCTATCTACCTTTTAACTACCTCTCTAGATCTAGCAAAATTTAAAACAATAAAGTCAAAGGTAACAATACTTTAAAGTTAAAGGCTATGATAATTTTGTTTTTTATTCAAACTGAAAAAAGTTAAAAAAATAAAGCTATTACTTGTGCAATAATATACTTAGAAAAATACTTTAGAAAGATAAAGCAATCTGTGTTGAAAGGAAAATAGTAAAACCTTGTCAATGAAAATATGTGTTAAAACTGTCATATTTGTGGACTTTTAAAGTACTTTTTTTATTTCTAAGTACTTTGAAATGTAACTACATTAAGCAGGTTGAATTTCTATTACAAAAATCTATCATTAACCATGATATATTCATACACAATCACAAAGTTCAACTGAAGAAAAGAATTAATTTCCAGATGTGATACAAGTCAAGTAGCACACTTTGTGTCTCTTCCTAAGAGATTTATATAAATATACCAAATAGATGGAATGGGTTCTGAAGCCTAGTGGTGACCTGACAGATGACAGCTAGGAAGCACAATTGACAGGGAGTTGAACAGAGACACTGGCCCATTCCAGACTGGAGTGTCATCTGGTGTGGTCCAAACTCCAGATTCACTTCTCCTGAATTTGTAATTTGACATTTTCATGAGTCCCTGTAGGTCAAACAATACATTCACCAACCTATGTGACACAGGGTATACATTTTACAGTTTTTGTTTAGGAGCTCATAGACTGCCTAAAATCCACTTTGAAAATATTTGATGCAAATTCCAAATAAATTCCAAAATACAGTGAACCCCATGAGATCTAGAAGTAGAAAATATATCAAAGTTAGACTCCTTTGTATCATAAAGTCAGAATGTAACTTTTCCATATTAATCATAATCAAATATTGGGTATATTTATTACAGGTCAGGACACCTGATCATTAAGCTTCTGTTCATTTGTACCACCCATGTCACCAAGTTTTATGAGAGTCAGACTTGGTAAATTAGGAACATGCTCCACAGATTCAACTAAGCTTGGGTCATATGGAGCTCACAGAGACAACCATGTGCCCTATATGGGTCTGAGCTAGGTCCTCTGCATAGACCTTACGGTTGTGTAGCTTGATACTTTTGTGGGACTCCCAACAGTGGGGTTAATGTGTCTCTGACTCTTTTGCCTGCTCTTGGGACCCTTTTCCTTCTACTAGACCACCTTATCCTTGATAGGATTTGTCCCTAGTCTTATTGTAACTTGTTATGCCATATTTGGTACCTATCCCTTAGGAGGCCTACTTATTTTGTTTTGAAGTGAAACAGAGGAGAAGTAAATCTGAGGAAAAAGAGGAGGTGGAGGGGGTACTGGGAGGAATGGACGGAGGGAAAACTGGTCAGGATGTAATTTATGAAAGAAGAATAAAAGCAAGAAAAAACTACAAAAATAAAAAATAAGAGTAAAAAAGGAATAAACCATGGAAGGGGATTTTTTTTTTCATAAACCAGTCAAGACCACATAAAACAAAAAAGGGAACATCTTCTAACTATAAAGATCTGTATCTTTAACCCATTTTGACCCTGGCCATTTCTTTTCAGCGTGTGTTTGTCTGGGACTTAGATGAAACTATCATCGTCTTCCACTCTCTCCTCACGGGCTCTTATGCACAGAAATATGGCAAGGTAAGGAGTCAAGAGCTTATTCCCAAAAGTGTTCAAGATTTAACCAGTTAAAAACTCAAGGCCTGTTTTAAACTGCTTTGTTTTCTCTGTCAACTCTTATGATAGCCTCCCCTCTGTGGTAGCTTACTGTTCTCAAGTGTGTACCTGCAACTCTGCAAAGCTAATGAGAAGTTACCTTTACACTATTCACAGGAACTTTGAGTTTTCTATCTCAAGACCAAAGACTCTGCTCTCATCCCTTCACTGCCTCCCTCTTGCTACTCCTTCTGTAGTAAATTTCCTAGAACAGCATCTCAGCTGTGTGAATTCTGTGCCCTGGGTTGATACAACCGTACTAGGCTGCTCTGGTGGAAACACACACGCTTAGCTCATAACTCACTCTGACTCTGTCAATAGGATTTGCTCTAAAGAGAGTGTAGTGAGAATATGCTGGCCAGGTTTCTACTCCTGTATGAAAATATGTGGTTGGGTTTAGACCTTTTCCACATCACAGTCACACCAACATAAATGCCTCACCTTGCCTCACAGCACAGCATAACACATTAGTGGGTGGGTTTTTATGTCCTATCAACACACTATATAGCAACAATTATATTCTCATCTTCTGGACAATTCATGATGGATTGGATTTAAGTGTGTCTTTTTCTTTTTCATTAGTATGTGTATCTGTATGTGCATGTGCTCTACAAACTCCAGAAGAATATGTCAAATCCTAAATCTAAATTTAGAGGTGTGACACGAGTCCTTATATGGGTGCTAGGAAATGAACCCAGATCCTCTGGAAGAGCAAGAAGTGCCCTTAACCACTGAGCCATCTTTCCAGCCCCAAATGACTCTTTGCACTTTGGGTTAATCTATGCTGTCACTGTTTTTTACTTTCTAAGTACATATAAAAAGTAATAATTTTTAACAATCATTTACCAAAACGTATCTTAGTTCCTTTATAACTGTAAACATCTGACACAGTTGTCTTGAAACTATACTTTCAAGAGTGTTTCTGTAATTCATAAACGATTTGTCTCCCAAACAGGGTTCATGCATCGACATATCTGCTGGGATGAGGATAGAATTTGTGAAATATTAAAACAAACTCACACACCCAAATTTGTATCTCATATTTATTTTTATTTCCTGTTGTATGCTAGGTATGTTTTATAAACAATGCACCAGTCACCTCAGGCTGCTGTAACAAAGCATGATATAGTTTATAACTAAGTCATTGTCACAAGTCTGGAGTGCAAAATCAAAATTCCATGGATGGTGGGATATGGAATCTGAAGTTTTCCAGAGTAATCTAAGAATTTTTTTAACATAATTGACTTTTCAAAATCATATGATGGGCCCTGTTTAAATGACTGCGATGGTGTGTATTGCTACATTTCTCAGTAGAAGAAAGCTTGAAATAACAGTCAGTTGTGAACGTATATGTCCCATGAAAAAGTCCCTCTAAACCCTCACCACCAGGGAGAGTCCTGAGATGCACGTTTCCCTGTTAGATCAGCAGTGATGGGTCTCACCTTGTGGAGTTGCCTTATACCTTTAACATGTTTACTGACATCAGGTCCTCATCTCTTTCTAGAAATTTGAGTCTTTTAAATTATGAGATCATTTAAATTCCCCAAATGAAACCCAAAAAGAATGGTAAACATGTCATTACAGTTCTTTTCTTTTTGTTAAACTGAGAACAGCACTTTCTCCAGTATTCTTGACCATAAATGTGTGGCCTCAGCCTGGTCTCAAGGAAATCTTCTGTGTGGAGGCTGAGATCCTCCTAAAGAACTTCACACCTGAAGCCTTTGGGACTTAACTGTAGAAGAGAGGAACTATAGAGAATGAGGCTGAAGATCAAGGGAGGCATGAGGAGAGCAGGAGGTAGAGAAAATTCCAGGAGCCTGCAGAGGTGGGATTCCATTGTACCCACTCTGGGGAAAGCTAAAGTCAGCAAAAGGTCCCCACAGGACACACCCCCGTTCTCTGTCACACCGTGCTTTCCTATACAAAGTCATGTTACTATTGAACATCTCTCTTATTCAAAAACACTTAACCCAGAATTTAGAATTGTAGAAGTTCAAATTTCTCCCACTAGATGAAGGGTCTGGATAAAAGATCGTCACATGGGAAGTCTCCCCACTGAGCTCTTGCAGTCACGGATCCTTGTCTTTCTTCCTCACTAGCACTAGTTGAAGCCACAAAGCACCTCACCAGAGTGTATCAATGCCAACACATTGCTAGGCCTCAGACATCCAGGTCCCCAAAACCTTCATCTAAAATTGCCTTTCTTTCTAAGTTACCCCATCTCAGGCATTCTGCCATGGCAATAGAAAGCTGCCACCACACTGGTATGCTGTGGTGTGTATGCCAGTGTTCCCCACAAGTTCATATTCTGAATTCTTCTTCCAGGCACCAACTCCATTCTGAGAGTCTAGAGAGCCTTTAGCAGTAAAGGCATGGCAAGCAGAACTAGATCTGTAGGGCCAGGCCTTGGGGGGGTTATAACAAACCTCTGATATCTCCTTCATTCTCAGTGATAAGAATGGTCCCACCACAATGCATAATCCCACTACTGTTGTGGCCCAGTGGGTGAGGCAAGCTGACTCTGAACTGAAATCTTTGAAACTGTGAGCCAAAATAAACCTTTCCTCCTCCAAACAAAAATGCCATTAAGCATAGGGAATTCCTGTCTGACTCTAAGAGCCAACCAAAAGCCAAGTGCTCAGGACCCTCTCAGCAGGGTGCGTCACTGAAAAATCTCAAGAGGCACTGAGGAATTTTCTAAATGTTTTATCTTGGAAAAAAAACAAATCTGTTTCTTCAACATGTTAATTAGTGATCTTTAAAGAAAGTTCATGGTGTGAAGAGTGTGAAGTTAGTGTGAAGAGTGCTTACATTTTATGGTGGTTCGGCGCAAGCTCTGAGACAGTGTAAACAATCTTCTCGTGAGATTGAATTCATCAGCTCACCAGTGATTTCACAGGCTGATAGAAATGAAGTCATTTTAGCTGTTATTTGAAAAAAATAATTTTCACTGCTCTTAAAAATAGTGACTAAGACAAAACTGAAGAGACGGTTCAGCTGTTGCCAACATTGCTCAGTTTCCAGCATGCACATGAAGGCTCACACGTCTACAACTCTGGCCCAAAGGATTTGATGTCCTCTTCTGGCCTCTGCAAGCTACTGCATACACACAGTGCACATAAACTTAGCGGGACACAAACACATATACATATTTTTAAAAAGTACCTGGGACCATTAGTTTTGGAAGGTGGGTGAAAGACCCATATCCCATTAAGAGATGTATAGATTTGAAATTACTTTCATGTACTTTCAAATCATTCATTTCTTCAATCTGCATTAAAAATCATTCCATTTATTTATTTATTTATTTATTTATTTAATTTATTTATTTGTGTGTGTGTGTGTGTGTGTGTGTGTACTTGTCCCATGTTCTACATGTGGCATTCAGAGGTTTACTTTTACAAGTTGGTTCTATCCTTCCATGATATGAGTCCCAGGGATCAATTCCAAGCCATCAGATTTACAGCAAGCTCCTTTACCCTGAGCCATCTTGCCAGCACCAATGTGCGTTTTAAATGCATATCTTAGTATAATGGTGATTTTCCAGGTTTGAAGCAGGGCATTCCATATGCATATTCTACAGAATATCATTATATAAAATACATGAGAATAGGGGTTCTCCAGCTGGAGGGAAGAGGCGAAGAATGACTGCCCCCATTACTCCCACAAAGCCAAGTGCCTTTCCTGTTATTCTCAGCCATTCAAGAACAGTTTACAGGGGCATAGGCTTCTATTTCCTGTAATGAGTATCAGCTCATCTTGGTAGGCTACGTGACAAGCGATCTGACCTCTGAGCTAATTTCTTTATCAGAAAATGATTATAGGAGCATAATCTAATCTTAGCAACTTGAAAGGCTGAGGCGGGAAGAGTGTGACTTCAAGGCCAGCCTGAGCTAAATAATGGGTTCCAGGCCAGCTCGTGGTACATTACAATAAATAAACAGATGCTTGTTTGTTTGTTGTCTTAGTTAGGGTTTTACTACTGTGAACAGACACCATGACCAAGGCACCTCTTATAAAGACAACATGTAATTGGGGCTGACTTACAGGTTCAGAGGTTCAGTTCCATTATCATCAAGGCAGAAGCATGGCAGTACTCAGGCAGGCATAGTGCAAGAGGAGCTAAGAGTTCTACATCTTCACCTGAAGGTCTCTAGAAGACTGTCTTCCAGGCAGCTAGGATGAGAGTATGTGAGCCCATGCCCATAGTGAGTGACACACCTATTCCAACAAGGCCATACCTCCTAACAGTGCCACTCCCTGAGCCAAGCATATACAAGCTATCACATTGAATTTAAACTTAAAAAGTAATAGGTGATTCTCTTCCATGCTGGAGTTAGTGGGTGGGTTAAATAAGATCATATCAAGGACATTTAGCTATGGACACAAGTATCTGCTTCTCAGGTCAAATAAAGTTAAGTAATAATACTCACTTTTTTCCCTCAAAATGAGCAATATCTCACAAAATACATTAAGCCAGACAGAGAGGACATGTGCACCTGAACTGTAAAATCAAACCCTCGAGCTAACACATCTATCTACCAGTCTGCTTCTATCTCTCCCAAACCTGTAGGTTGGAGCAAGTGTTGCCTTTGGTCTTCTACAGTTTGCTTGACATTTCATAAGTACATCCACTTCAGTGCATTGTACACTTAGGTCTCACCTCTGCCCTATGCCACTGATATGGCATACAATGTATTTTGCAAGTGGCACAGCCAGCCAGCACCTGGCTCTCTGACATGATCTTGTCTCTATTCTCCTTCAGTCTTTGCTACCACATGGGACCTTTGCAAATAAAATTCATCATCTCCAGTCTTCTAGAAATGCCATGATCTTATGTAACTCATTTTATATATTCACTTAACAATATTTGTATAAAGTTCTATATCCCCCATAAATAATATAAACATTTCCAAGATTCTTCCTAATATGTTATCACTTTGTGACTCTGCTCAACTGTCAACATTCCCTCCTTGCAAGCAGAACTGTTTCTGGATCTTTTTGATGGCAGCAAGCATAGGCTCTCTGGCTGAGCACCAGTTGGCATGCATAGCTTCATCACTGCAAAAATCTAAAATAGAAGTTCATGAACTTGACATGATGGCGCCTAGGTATCATCCACTATCTGGAAATTTATGAGGATGGTTCTGATGCTCTGAGAAACTGTGTACATTATTTTACCCAAATAACAGTAACTCCTTTCTCAGGCAAAGGAATAAATATTAACAAATTTTGCTATAAGGGTTTAGTTTATATTGGAACACTTATGACTTACACGCTTGGAAGCCACTGTTCTCTAAAGCCATTCAGTGTAAAGAGACAAAAGAAATGAACAGCCCAAGTTAGAGGAAAGATGAAAGAAAAGCGAGCAACTGCATTATAATGTGATCAGAATTCAAGCTGTGTGGAAGGGCAGAGCTGAGAGAAGAAACAAACCACCCCATTGCTTTTGGGTTTAACAATAGACACACTCACCTAGAAACATGAGGTTGGAAGCAGCACTTGCTGGGTTTTCTACAGAGTCATAAAGAAAGCAGTGTGTGATTTAGTAGAAAGCGACCGGTGTTGCGAAATTATTAGAATTGTGGGTCTGAAGCAACCGCACTTGGGACAGCTAACACCATGACCACTAATTCCCTTTTCAACAAAGAGTTAATGTTCAGCTTTGTGAGGAATATAGACCTGAATTCAAGTTCTATCTCTCTGACAAGATCACGTGACCTTTTGAAATTTGAGCAACTGGATGTTTTCCAGGGAATGTCCTTCTTCTATTTGTATCTGTCACTTTTCCCTTCAGTGTGGGACATTCAGTTTGGTGACAAAACCTCAACAGTTTTTGTAGTCAGGTGGCTATAGCCAGGTTTTGGAGTACATAGAGCATAGGAAAACAGTGTTAAGCATCAAAAAATGGTCATGTGTGGTGGTGTATATCTTAATCTAAGCACTCAGAAATTTAAGGCAAAAAGGATCCCTATAAGGCCAAATAAAATGGATAGTATTTTTCATGTTTGCTAAAGGCATGTTCATGTACCTGTATGAGTAGTACTTACCCAAATAGACTATACATACAAAGAGTAAAGCTAAATCCAGGACACTGATCTGCCTCACAGTCTGTCTGCGGGAAGTGGAGAACAATAGTAGCTAATTGTGTTTAAGTGTGTGTTTGTCTGTGTGTGTCTGTGTCTCTGTGTGTGTGTGTGTGTGTAGGTGTGTGTGTGTGTGTGTGAAAGAGAGAGAGAGAGAGAGAGAGAGAGAGAGAGAGAGAGAGAGAAGGTAATCCTCAGGCACTGATATTCAGCCACTGTCTAACTTAACTTATTGTGTGAGACAAGTTCTACCTGGTTGGGATCTGGAGCTCACTGGATTTGACTAGTCTGACTGGCCAGCGTGTTTCAACATCAGTCCAGGTGTGTCATGTCAGTCTGGCCCCGTGATACATACATACAGCTATGTATGTGAGTTCTAGCGATGGGACTCATGTTCTCATGATTGTGCTTCAAGCACTTCATCTCCGGTTAAGGTGATTTCTCTCTGAGCCACCATACACCTGTGACCTGCATCCCCCTACCCTGTACTACTGGCCACAATATTCTGAACTACTCTAGGAAAGGCCTTTTGAGCTAAATTCTTTCCGGTTGCTTTTCTCCATCTCCTCTTGTCACCAAATTACAAAGGAGGACACTCTTCTATGATCTGAGACAAAGCCATGGCAAGGCAAGTGGTCTTTCTCAGTTTTTCTTACTGGGGGAAATCCTTTGTTCCTGACTCAGATGAGGGATCAGTCTTCCCTAAAGTACACCCTGGCTTTCCTAGGCTTGACCCTACTGCCGGATGCTCTGCCGCACATGATAGGTTCACTCTTACCCCCAAGTCTGCCTGTCTCCCTATCACATGTATGGCTAACTCCCTGTTTTCTTATCCAGACATTAGTCCTGGAAGGAGCACGCTGGCTTGGCTTACACTGACTATTACAGCTTCTCCCTGAGCTTCTGTGTCTATTCACCTAGGTTTCTTTCCACTACAGAGGTATCATCACCTGGAATGCTATGTTTCCTGGGCCGTTTATTAGCTATATCACATAATAATAACAACTAAAGCCCAGAAGCACATGACTTTTGCTCTTATATTTTTTGCCTTTATTGGAATGTATGTGTGAGTGTGTGGGGGGGTGGTTCTGTGTACTTGTTCTCATGAGGGATGTGTGAGTATTCATGTGCAGGTATACATGTAAATTTGTATGTAGACATGTGAAGACCAGAGGTCAATTTAGGACATCTTGCTCTACTCTCCAAATTGTTCATTTTTTAATCCACTTCCTACCATAACGCCATTCCCTCATATATTCCTGACTTCTTTTTTATAAGTTACTATCACCACATATATATAAATGCATAATATGTGAGCACAAGCTGCTGTCTTTTTAATATATGTTGCATATATATTATTTAAATACACACAAACACACACACACACACACACACACACATATGTCTAACCACTTGGTATTAAATAATCACAGGGAGCTGGTTCCTAGGGAAGAGTAATTCTCCTTCTATCAGAGGTCAGAGGTCATTAGTTTCCTATAGCTTTTCATCTAGGCATAGGGCCATTGTTATGGTTCATAGGCATCGCAGCTGGTATGGTACCTAATTGTTTTCCTCCCTTGATAGTTGTCATTATTGTGTGAGATTGCAATTGCAAGCTCAGCCTTTTGTTTGGGGGCTGGGGTCAGAACCCAGGTTCCCTGTGCTTCCTCAACAAGCACTTTACCTACAGAGTCATCTTTCCAGCTTTACTTTGATGTGTTGGTTTTGTTTTGTTTTATTGTTCCCTTCCCAGAAGTTGAGTATGTCATAGTCACTAAAAACCATAGATGATCAATAATGGAATGTTCCTGATAGCGTTTTCCAATTCCCTCTGATAATTCTTTTTTATTCTTCCATTTTGGAAATACTTAGAGTTGAAACTAAGACCTCGTCCATACTAGACAAGTACTCATCCAGTGACTCAAAGACCCATCCTACCCTTTAAGAACTCTGAAACCTATTACACATTCCTCAGACAAATAGGTCAAATATGGAGTTTCCATTCCAGTTGATAAATGGATTTCATTTCACCTCTTATGTCTAATTAGAAAAGTACTTCCATCTCGAGAATATGTTCCTCCTTGGTTTGTGAGCTGATTTACCTTCCTTGCAGTGTGCTCAGGCATCTTTGGTCCCTTGAGTAAAAATCCTCAAATGTACTTTATGTCCCAAAGGAATAACTGGTCCAAAATCCCAGGATCTTAAAAGAAATATAGTCCCGCCCCCGATTCTTTAAAAATACATAATTGCTGCTTCTCCTGAGATATTTTTACAATGTCTCCCTAGAGGAGGAATTGCAGCTGATGTCCCAGTGTAGGGCAGAGACCCACAGACAGACAGTCTGGCTCCGGTTTATGTTCTGTGCTATCATGGCTAATAGACATTAGTATTTTGATTTAGAGAAGTGTTCTACTTGAGCCTATCTTGGGTGTATACACTGGTAACATCTGGCTTAGAGGCACACATTTCAAGGTCAAGAGGTATTTATTTTCTTTGTCTTCTTTTTCTCCTCTTCCTCTCCTTCTCTCTCTCTCTCTCTCTCTCTCTCTCTCTCTCTCTCTCTCTCTCTCCCCTTCTTCCTTTCTTTCTACTCCCTCCAGCAGAAGCAGAGGAGTGTCTTGGGAATCATTTCAATGTTTTGATAGAGTAGTGCAGAGCGTAAATTGGCAGACGTTCTATTTGCCCCCTGTTGAACTCCGCAGGAGATATACTGAATCCTTCAGAACTCTTATATGTGTGTAATGTGTATCAGAACTTACATCCAACCCTATCTGTGAAAATGAGTGGGAATTTCAGTACAAGACTTGAGTTCTTTCCAGAAATATGTCTCACTCATAAATGCTTGATAATACAGTAGAACTGCAGCCACCAGTGGCTCTTTCCCGTCAGAGGTATCCACCATGACAAGGTTCTGGAAAGGCTTCCCCCACGAACCCCCTCCCCAAAAAATATATCTCTTTTCTGGAGTTTGATATCTGTGCATCCTGGAAAAGTGTGATACTGTAATCTGCTAATTTAGAATTAGTTATTCCAGTGATTTAGCTCACTGGGAGGGGAGATAAATTATATATTTACAAAGAAGCCCTCCCCAAACAGTCTCTGAGGAACAAGAACACCACCTCTTAACTTAGTTTTCCTTGGCTTGTGGCCTTGATGACCAAACAGCTTTCTGTCAATGAGTTTGCTCTCTGAAAACCTTAGTAAAATTTAACCAATTCACACTCTGACAAAATTCAAATCCAAACTTACCCAGTTAAGAAATGAGATTTTTGCCAGAAGCTTACAAAGTACTGGCTGTAGTAGGGCGTGTGTTGTACAAACACCACAGCTTGCAAAACAAGTGATTAACCCTCCCTCTCCAGTGCCATGGGGTTACATTCCAATAGTATGCTCGAATACAGCTTTCATTATGCCATATGCTATGCCTCCTTACTAGAAGGACCATGTAATTTAAAAAAAGAAAAGAAAAGAAATATATTTGTTTGCAAGCTTATCAAATGGGCAGGAAATGCGTCTTTTGTGGATTTTCCCACCACTGTTTATATAGCACAGACAGGAATGTAGTTCTGAAGCATGCTATCAATGAAAGTAACAATCACAGAATCGCTAGGGTTTCTCCCATCTTCCCAGAAATCAAATCTATAAATGCAAAGAATGCAAAGAATGAACACAAGATAGCCAATAATTTTATTGGAAACTTAAAAGAGGAGACAAATACCAGTTGGGATTAAAAGATTCACTAACCTAGCCTCCAAAAGAAAAGCTTTAAAGAGATATTTCTGTACCCACATCTGAAATTGATATCTTCAGGGTAGAAAGCATCAGAGTACCATGGGTCTCCCCTTTACTGTCTTGCATCATGGGCATTCCTGAAATTCAAAGAGCGTCACTAATGGAATTATATGTTTTCATGCTGTAATTACATTTGATTTTCCTGATATTTCTGTGGACTTTTTGTTTATGGGTCCATGTCTTAGCAGAATATTTCAAAGTTTTCTATAACATTGTCCTAATTAAGACCCACTCTGTTCCCTCCAAAAAGAGGGGATTAACAAGAGCACCTTTTAATAGAGAAAGACAAAATGCATAGTTAAAAAATTATTCAAGCTTCAGAGAGTTCTCTCAATAACAATAAAGGATGTTAACACCAACAAAAGAGAATCTAACAATGGAAGGAAACATAATCAGGGTCCTTCTGAGTTCTGAAAAGGCCTGAGCTAATTAAAAAAATTTAGTTGGGAACACAAAACATATTTTCTTTATATTTGAATGAGTGCATTTTAGACAAAACAATTTGATCTTTGCCTTGTACTGAGTTCTATTGTAGATATTTTGAACCCTTCAGGATCCTTTTATGTGTGTATCAGCATACACATCCAACTCTATCCATGCATTCATAACCCCATCTTTTTGATTTGGTGATACTTCAGTATATTGATCCTAGTAACTTGTTACTGACAGCAGATCAATGTGGCAGTAAAGCCCAAGTCCAGGTAGCCAAAGTACATGCTACAGGATATGAGCAATCTGCACAGGATCTTTAAAAGGTCTATAAGAACACCTGCTGAGAAAATGAAAATAATTAAGTAGACGAATTCTTACTACTCCTGCCTCATCCTCTTAAGTTTTATCTGATCAAGCCTTAAGTTTGTTTTGTATACCTCCACATCCATTAACATACAGTTCCTATTTTTAATGTGGCCTTCCTAGTCTCCACGTTTTCATGGATACAGAACATGGGAGGGACACTTGAAGTGTGTTTACATTCCAGGGTTTTCTCTGCAGTGCATGATGGAAGTAAATGAAGAAAGCCAGTTGGTGCCATGGAGGGGCAGCTACAGGCAAGTGGAGCTAGATGTATAGCTGAGTATCACTGGGGCCCGACCTGGGTTGGGTGTCCTCATCAGCAATTGAAGTAAAGCTATCTATACATCTGCCCAAGTTCAGCACATTTCTTAAAACGCCACTTATTAGAATGTTGAGATCCAAAAAGCAATTCTTCTCACATGCCTGCAGTTTGGTCCATGACCAAGCCACACAACCCAAATCACAGGCTGAGTTCTTCCCAGGTAACTGCTCAGCCAAAACTGATAGGGTTCCTCTAGACTTCTCAGTGCTGTACACAATAATTTTCTTCACCCTGAAACACCCACCTGGCCTCAGATGCAAAGGAATTGCCTCTTCTTGTTTTTCTACTTTCTGCCTTCCACTAATCACACCTGTAGTAGTCCCTTAGATTTTGTTCCAACTTCAATCATTTCAACACAACCATGTGAATGATTGCTTCCATGTCCTCAAACTCTCCTCAAGTCTCAAAATCTCCTGACACTGAGACTTCAGCTTCAGTTAATCATGGTAAAGAGACACCGCTGCTTGTAATTCTTCAGCTCTTGCTTCTATTTAAGATATCGGTCACTGTAAGCAAACACAAGAGTCATTTTGACTTCCCATCAACCCCTCTCATCCCTAAATCACTAAAAGCTTAGGTTTTTCTACACCGGTATGTGCAGTGAGTGAATATTCTTTTAATCTCCACTTCCTGTAACCTTAGTGAAATTCAGGTTAGAGCACATTGTGTATGGTTAAATAGAGACTCCTGCTATCCTGTCACTCAAAATGACATCCATATTAAGTGGCATTTGTACCAGCCTATCTGCTTTACTATCCGGATTTGATGTGATCATCTCTGCTCCTCTGTATCATCTTATCATTGTATCACCCACTGGGCCTACTCTTCTCCAACTCTAGTTTGGTGGCGGCTGTTCCTTTTTTCTCTTTTCTTTTCTTTTCTTTCCTTTTCTTTTCTTTTTAGATTATAATATAATTATAACCTTTCTCCCTTTACATTCATCTCTCCAAAAGCCTTCTATGTACCTCTCCCTATTCTCCTTCAATTTCATTTCCTCTTCTTTCACTAATTGGTACAGCATGCATATATTTATATGGATGTATAGTATGTGTATATGTATATATACGTGTATATGTATATCTATGTATGTGAATGTGTGTGTATGTGTATGTATGTATATATATATGAATGTATATGTATCTATATATGTATGTATATGCATATGTATGCATATCTGTATATATATATGTAATGTGTATATGTACATGAATCTATGTATATGTACGTGCATGTATATGTATATACATATATTTCTAAATATAACCTATCTACTCCGTATAATGATAAGTGCATATCCTTGCATATATTTAATAAGTTTTCTTTGTTCTTCACCTCTCATCCAAATACCAATCAATCTTCAGAAAGTATTTGTGGCATATATGCAAGCTATATCATCTAAACTTGTTAGCTCTCATGCTTCTCTTATGAATATACAGATTTGGGTGGATAAATTACTACTGAAATGTGTTCGTAATCATCCTTAAATGCATATTATGTCTTATAAATTGCCAGGTATCTTTTTAGAGATCCCTGTTTGGGAATCATTCATAAGTCATTTTATACATATACATGTAATTATTTAAAGATTATAAATGGTAGAATTGTGTGTATAGCATAAATTTCAATACATGAATGTAATATATAATGATCAAATTGATAATTAATATTTACACTTCAAATACTTATCATTCTTTGGGTTAAAAACATGCAAAATCCTTTATTCTGACCACCTGGAAAACTAAAGTAAATATTGCTAACTATAGTCACACCATTTTATATCATCAGCCACTAGAATGTTGACATATTTTTAGCTATTTTCCAACTCTTTAACTCCTCCCTTGACTCTGAAAAATGTTTTAATCTTCACTAAAATTTCATCTAACATTTTGCCTTCTCCAACAATATCTTCCCAAAATATTGTTTTAGTAATGGTGGTTAATGAAATTTTACTTCATTTTGTATGTATTTATTTTCAGGATCCCCCAATGGCTGTGACCCTTGGGCTCCGAATGGAAGAAATGATCTTTAATCTTGCTGATACACATTTGTTTTTTAATGACTTAGAGGTAAGAATTATAAAGTCAAGAATAATTATTGACAACACAAAAACTCTCAGATAGTGTCCTGTATGCAGTAAACCTTAAGAAATTTGGCTGGGGTGGGGAGGATGCTGGGATGCTCCCCCAAGAACTGTAAGTTTCTTTTCAAGTGGAAAATTACATAGAGGAGTCTGAGCAGACTGAAAACACATGCTCTTAAAGGCATACCAAGAACAAAAATGTCTTAGAAGACATTGGCCTCCTGTGTGGCTGAGGTCAGACAACCCTTCATTTTGCCCTCAGTTCTTTGGTATCTCACCTTTGAGTTAGCATCAGCCTTTCCCAGGTTAGTAATCAAGACAATTTGTGCTATTCAGTGGATGATACGTCACCAATCCTCATCACAGGAGATACATGGGTCATTGAGGGTGGCAGCATCTTTGAACAAACTCTGATTCTCATCCTCTCCCCTTTAGAATATAAAGAATGCTGGAGCAGTTTCCACAGCATAGTCGATGAGTTTTAATGCACTGAACACTTTCCTCTCTCAGGGCTTCTACTCTTAATGTCAACTTCCAACACAGTTGTCTGAATGGCAAGCAAGAGACAGAGAAAGCAAAACTCAACAAAATGGAAAATCACAAGAAAATCTAGCCTCAGAGTAGCTACATGTATGCCACAATACAGAATATAACCTCTGTGTTAGTAATTTATGGTTCCAGACATGCAAAAAGCAGAATATGAAATAACAAAGCAGCTTGGGTAAATCAACCAGGTACCTCGTGGACAAATATAATTGGGCTAAAACAGATTTCTCACTTAAACAAATACCATGCTTAATTTTTATTTTAATTTTGTGATTTCATAATGAGGAAAAAATATTTAACTATAGTCACATTATGAACAAATATGATTATTTCTATGACTCCTCATGTGGTTCTAGACATTTTATGTTAAGCTTTCCACTAACTGTCAATGCTTTGAAATAAATTTAAGAATATCACTTTTCAGTATATTACTTTTCAGGGAACAAACTCAAACTACAGGTTGAACAGCAAGATAGATAGATAGATAGATATCAATAGATCAGTATCATATATAGATTAGGGTGAAAGAAAGAAAATTCACATTTAGTGAGTGACTTAGGTAAGATTATATATAGATCAAGACTTAGTTACATCGGAGGCACAAAATGAAAAATGATTCCATCATGTAGATGCATGTATGTGTGTGTTAGTAATATGTATATGTGTATAATATGTATATATATATATATATATATATATATATATATATATATGTGTGTGTGTGTGTGTGTGTGTGTGTGTGTGTGTGTGTGTATGCATGTATATATGTATCCTATGTTACCAGCTAACTCAGTAATAGAATTGTGATTTTTAAAGTAGGTTTCAGGAAAGCGAGCACAGCTTTCTGCCCCCATGCCTTGAGAAATTAGAACAAAAGAAAGAAAAGCCACATTTAATGAGTGACTCAGATAAGAGTATAGATCAAGCCTTAGTTACATCAGAGACACAAAATGAAGAATGAATCCATGTGGCCCATGGAAAATGTGCTAAGACTGCAGGGTTAAAAGGGATCAGTCATTTTCCCAGCTTGGTCCATGTTTTCATTGAGTAATGAAATGTCTGTTGGAAGAAGCTTTGTTTGTTAGTGAGCAATATGAAAGCTCAGCGTTCTTCATCTAGTTTCTAGTCTTGTAAGAAATACTGATGACCCTTGTAAAGCCCAACTTCAGCTAACCCCACTGATTATCATTCCCAGAGATACAGAGCAGTTTTGTGATGATACCTGCTCATAGGAAATATGATTGACCTTGCATGGAACTCGACATTTTAAATATAGTAATAGCTATATGTTAGTTTTCTTGTTCTTCATATGGATGAGTCTCAGCTTAAAAATTAAAAGATGATGTATATTTTCAAAATGAGACGTTTTATATGGTGTGTCCCAGTTTTACAATGTTTATCTGATTTGACTTCTTTTCATTACTAGAAACCCATGAAATGTGTCCTTAACTTTTATCTTTTTTGTGGCATCTTATAAATAAGGTGAAACAGGAAAAACTAGGATCATCAACCCATCAGATCCCACTGTTGAAAGGAGAGAATGGACCCGAGAGAGTTCTCTTCTGACCCCATATAGGCACTTTTGCACACGTGCCATCCCCAGAAGTGCACACACACACACACACATACACACACACACACACACACACTCAATAAAAATCACCTTTTAGCGGAACACTAAAATGAGAAAATGAGTGTATCTTACTCAAAATGTGTAAATAAAGTACCACAACATATATAAAAAGCTGTGGCTAGATACAGTGTTTTAAGATTTTTCATCTTATGGTAGGTCTTATGTTAAAACTACTTCATATATACTGGCTGGGATAACTGACAGAAACGCTGAACAGAAAACATTGTCATTGATACTTCTTTTGTAGGGTCTTAGAATGTCACAGAACAATTTTGACTTATACCCCATAGTTCAGCTGTTGAGATGTATTCCATTTGATCAGTAAAAGATAAACCTAATCAAGGGAGTACTATGTGCACACAGAGTGGGTGTGCAAACAGTGGGGTAGACACACTGTGCATGTGTGCTGGCACAGGTAGATGATCCCAGGAACACAAAAGCATATTTCCAAGTGACACAGACAAGCACTGGATTAATGAGATCCAGACAGTAACTTTCAAGTCCATTTGGTTACCTACCTCTGTGCCCCCTGTCCTGGGTGCATAATTTTAAACATCAAATCGTTACCAATGCCCCTTTGGCTAGCCACTTTCTTACAAAGGCTCCATTAACAGGAATTAAGCCAAGCCTGCTTCTGCTGACATACAAAATTGCTCAAAGCAGTACATATATCATTAGCTTATTGTGAGAATTGTTTCCTTGTATAGTTAATCTCTTAGAGTCTTTTGTGGGAATCCAATGTCTATTTGAAACAGTAAATGCTTCAATACATGGTACTCCATTGGCAATGGCAGCTGTTCCTCTCAAACATCCTTAAAAGTTCCAAATCTGAATCTGAGCACTCAACACTTTATTCCATTCTGCCCACTCCCACCCCTGGAGAAAGAATGCTCACTGTTCAAAAACATGTTATTTCAGTTAGAATAACTTCCAGAGGAGAAAGCACCAGGGAGTTGGGGTTTGCAAACGTGAGAGAAGATTGCTGTGGCATATACCTGGAACAGATCAGAGACAACTTTGTGGTTACCATATAAGACAAATTTAAAACATTTATGATTAACACCAGAATTATTTTAAGAATTTGAGGTATCTGCTAAGCTGTGTTCAAAACCAAAGCTCTTGAATGTTTTTGGAGTGTTTTAGGTTTAGGTTAAAATGACTCCTGCATGGTTTCTGCAAAGAAAACTAGTTGATGAACAATTATTTATCTTTCTCTTTAAAAAAAAAAAAGCTAAGTAATTGAAGTTCAAGTTTCTTTCACTGGACTGTAATCCTTGGGCAACTGTCCAGAGTCAACACACAGAGTTACTAAGCATAAATATAAAGAGAAGTTAGATTTGGAAGACCCTCAAACCTAACTTCAAATACAGAGTGCATGGTCAAATAAGTTTGATATACTGTTGTCCTCTGGAGTAAAAAATGAATTTTGGGGCAAGTTATGTATAAATTAATCATGTGAATTAATACTTGAAATGTCAGGGGAGTTTTCTTTTTTTAAATATTAGAATGAGGAAATATTTAAGAAATCGCTTCTGGTGGTTAGAGGAACTCACAGAAATATCCTTTGCCATTTGGGGGGTTTTATATAAGAATATTATGTTAAGAAAGAAATGGAAGTTACTTACATGAGGAAAAAGTTTGGAAGTTCAATAGAGTGAGAAGCTGCAGGTACTTATTTCTATCTAACTGCCTCCCAAGAATGTCACCATTTCTGAGCTAGAGACAGTGGCTAAAAGCACTATCTGCTCTTCCAGAAAACCTAAGTCTAGTTTCTAGTACTCAGATGGCTGCTGACAACCATCTGTAACTCCGATCCCACGGGAACCAACCCTCTTCTGGCCTGAGTGGGTACCAGATACACACATGGTATACATACAGATATACATGAAGGCAAAACACCAATACATATTAACATTTATTTAAAGAATATTACCATGTCTAAAATACAGATACTTGGGTCATGTAGAGTACCTCCATATTCTGGGAGAAAATAGGGTTTCCAGAAGCCCAAGGCAGCAGCTTGATATGCTTGCATCTGAGAGGGTGTTTTTCGGAGGTTCGATGCCTCCTTTTGTCACAGAGTAGCCTGCATCCCTCTCAACTATGGGATACCAAGATAGCTCAGACAGCCTCACCTCTTATTCTGTTCTTTTTCTTCTCTTTATACTGATGACACCCACACTTTCCCACAAGCCTCGCTATCTAGGGTATTAATTTATTTCACTATAACTTTGTGTTAGAAACTTAAAATGATTGAGAAACTCTACCAACTACTATCATTGCCTATACTTCTGCTGTGTGGTTAAGAAGCAATTCTGTTGCATTTAATTCAGGTTTTTTTTTTTATTGGTGTATACTCATTGAACATGATACGAAATGAGGACATTTTCTTTTTTCCTTCCTTCCTTCCTTCCTTCCTTCCTTCCTTCCTTCCTTCCCTCTTCCTTTCTTTCTTTCCTTCCTTCCTTCCTTCCTTTCTTTCTTTCTTTCTTTCTTTCTTTCTTTCATCTTTCTTTTTACAGAGTTTCTCTGTGTAACCCTGGCTGTCCTGGAACTCTGTCTGTAGACCAGGCTGGCCTCCAAATCCCAATGACCCACCTGCCTCTGCTTCCCAGGTTCTGGGATTAAAGATGTGTCCCACCACTGCACAGCTATATAAGCATAGTTTCAACCAAGTATGTTAAGTACTTTGAGCATATCTCCCATTGCATAATTTCCTTTCCTCTAGTTTTTAAAATACTTTTTGTCCAACCCTTTTACTCACCAAATATCTAAGTGGACTATTTCCTGCCTCTAGAAGATGCCTTTAAAAATCCATATATCCTGGTCGTCTCTCCCACAAGCACCCTCAGATGTACCAGGTAGAATAACTCTCCTCAGCCCTTATCTGTAAACACAGGTAAATATTTACTCAAAAGTTACTAACCCAAAATTTATGTAAACCTTAAAACTACTAAAGTAAGTATACATAAATTTCTTAAAGATTTTTGTTTTCATTTTACATTCACGGGTGTCTTACCTGCATGTACATATGTGTTCCATGTGTATGCAGTGCCCAGAGAAGGCAGAAAAGGGAGTTTTCAGCCGCATCTGGAGTTCTGGGATCTAAACCTGGGTCATCTAGAAGAGTAGCAAATGCTCTGAAATGCTGATCCATTCCAAATACGTTTTGAAGTCATGTATGAACACTTTCCTGACTATGCCCACCACTCAGTTTATGTTTTATTGTTTCTTTGATTCACATTTGTTTTATTGACTTGAGAAAGTACACAGTCCACATCACACACGTGTGGAGGTCAAAGGATGAGCACGGAAGTCCTTTCTCTCCTTCCACCATGTGGGCTCTTAGGTTCAAGCTCAGGTCCCCAGGCTCAGCAGCTTACTCTGTACCTGCTGCTGAACCATCTCTTTGCTCTCCAATTCTGTCCATTAAAGGTAGTCTGAGTTCATTGAAATGGGATCAATATGTTCTGAGTGAAGGCTGAAGCCTCGACGTTCAGTGCTTGATTACAGACCCTTCCAGGTACATTATAACAAATTTGAAGTGGATACTCTTTCTTAATATGACATATTTTCATATTTAATAATTTTAAATTGATCTTTGAACCAATTACTTGTAAGTAATTGCTTACTTATAAGTAAGATAATCTAAAAAACATATAAGAGGCCCAAAAGTTGGGAAATGTTAACTCAGTAGTAAAAACTTGCATAACACATGCAGGCTTGGCTTCAGTCCCCTGCAAATCTCTCTCTCTCTCTCTCTCTCTCTCTCTCTCTCTCTCTCTCATTGATTTATTGTGAATTATAATAATTTGTAACTGCTAATTGTGGACTTACACCTCTGAGGGCTAGGCATTTTAAATCTCATCAACAAATTTTGCCTTAAATTATATACTATTTCATGGGAACCTGGCAGATCATTTAAACGCAGAACAAGTTTTTAGAACCTCTTAGAGCCCGATTTTTATGTGGAAGCCGCTATTTGCTTTAAGCAAATTCTAACTTGAAATAAGATCCAATGTGGGCAATCTTAACAAATTTATTTTCCCTGGAGGTTTTATTGCTTTTGGTATGTAAATCTTCTTTGTGACTTTACTTATATTCATTGACATTTTAAAAACACTAAAGCCCGATGAAAGAAAGTGTCAACCTCTATGGCCACTAACTTTGTTCTGTATCTAAAAACCAGGACTTTAAGTAAAATGACACCTTCACACTAACAAAGAGCAGGAAGTCTTGGAAAGCTCACAAGACACCATGTTCTGAGGTCAAGACCCCTCCACTTCCACCAAGCAAATAATAAATAATACTGACCATTTGAGATGCTCAGATCCCGGGCACACTGCAGATTTCAGTCTAACAAAGGTACTGATCTCAAAGGTTCGAGAGCTCTTCTTATCAATGATGTTAAGATTAAACTTTTTTCCAAAGCGCCCCGAGTTTCTAGACTGCTTTATGGATTTAGATCTCAGAGAAGTGGTACCATTTCCCTCCATGCGTAAGAAAGCAAGCGTCAGAGGAAGGGCAGAATGGACCCATGCTGCCACCTTGTGGCCATAGCCTGATGCCTTGGGATAATGGAAACTTACCCTGATGCAGTGGGATGCTGGGAAACCTGAGGTGGTAGCCATGTTTGGGCAATAGGTAATGTCTGCTGTTTCCTTTCCTCAGGAGTGTGATCAAGTTCATATAGATGATGTTTCCTCCGATGACAATGGTCAGGACTTAAGGTAAACCGCGCTTTCAGTCTTCCGTTTCCTACAAAAATTCAGCTGTGGAGTTTTGCACATGTAATTATTTCTTCTGTTTCTTTTTAATGTATTTTGGGTGTTGCAGTACCTACAGTTTTGCAACTGATGGCTTCCATGCAACTGCAAGTAGTGCGAACCTTTGTTTGCCAACAGGTGTGAGAGGAGGAGTGGACTGGATGAGGAAGCTGGCTTTTCGTTACAGAAGAGTAAAGGAATTATATAACACCTACAAGAACAATGTTGGAGGTACGTGCAGCGATTCCACCCAGTGTCAGTACCATGGCCGTAGGCAGAATTCTGTAGTTTCACAGTGGAAAATAGCTACTGGAAAACAAGCCATGAAGGTTCGAGTTGAAAAGCAATGAGCCTGGATTTCTGCTCTCTTTGGATTACTAGTGGGGAGTTGAATGCACCCTTGCAAAAAGACTTAGCCATTTGTGGGAAACCATGTGCCTAGGATGTTTTCTCTGTTTCATCTGTATTACTGTGACATTGTCAACAAAACAGACAAGTAAAGGAGGTGGTCAAGAGGCCCTTGCAAAGATAAGAGCCAAAGTTATTGAGTTAGTGCCAATCACTGAGAGAATATACATGCAGCAGCTTGTGAAAATTCAAAATGTGCCAACAGAGCTATTGGATCTTTTTAAAACTCACACACTGTCTGACAGTGTATTTCTCTACATTGGACACAGTGCTCGCTGTAATCACTGAATTTTAAAAGTTCCGATACTCTGTAGGCAGTGTCTAAATCACATTATACTTATAATTTTATAATAAATTATCCATATAATTTGAGGCAGTACTTTAGACCCTTAGCCCCAGACTGCACCTCTGGCTGTGTTTCTAGATACAGGAAAATGGATCTTCTTTATTGTTAGAATCAGTTTTAAGTCAACACACTCTCAAGATTAGTTCCGGAGTCAGACACCCACAATTCTTCCAGCAAGCTGTTTGTTTTCCTTTTAAAATGAAATGTCTTTGAGGAACAAAAACCCAAAGTAAGCTAAAAGAAAATGATTTTTCTAAATACATGTATGCATTCTGCACATATGTATGGTCATGTGTATACCACAGAGTAAATAAATATAATTTTCACCCGCAGTGAACACATTGCACCCATCTGTTTTCAACTTGAGAATAGGGCTATGTGTCTGTTTTCCTGTTTGCTAACATTGAATCACATCAAATGCTCAGTGAATCCTCAGCAAGTGTAAAAGCAAGGCAGAGCCACAGACTTTTGAATGTTTGAAATGACAGGAAGCTTTACAGGGAAAGCTTAATTTCCACATAGGTAACTGAGTCCTGCAGGCTCTAGTACTACTGTGTGGTTCCAGTTCCTGGCTGGAGCTCCTAACTCACTCTAAGGCTTTGTCCCAGAAACTTTAGTAAAATAATTGTAAATAGTATGTTTAACTATTTTTTTAAACTTAACATCCCTTTTAGAGGCCCGAAACTATTAATTTGCATACCCCTATACAGAGTTTTATTTGAATTATTTATATTTGCATAGCCCCCTTTACAGAGTATTGTTTAAACTATTTTAAAATTGGAAAGACCATTAACATATCTTCTATCTTAGAAATTTTAATCAATGATGTGAGAGGTTATTTTCTGTCAGATATTAGCATCTTTTAATTGCAATGTGGAAACATAAGAATTTCTAGAAAGTAGAAGTTTTAATTTTAAATATCTATAATTGCATATTTTTGTCCTTGCTCCCAGTGTCTGAAATACAGTTTAAGTGAGAAACCCTCCTTTTCAATGGATAGTCATGTGATCTCATTTTATCTTGAAAGCAAGGTTACTTTGTTTTTCTCTTTTTTTCTTTTCTCCTTCCCTTCCTTCCTTCCTTCCTTCCTTCCTTCTTTCCTTCCTTCCTTCCTCTCTCCCTCTTTTTTCTTTTCTTTTTTGTCAGTGTCAGGGTCCTCTAGCATACTAACCATGTTCTCCACCAATGACAGATATCCCAGCCTCTCTGTAAAATTTAAAATACCTATTTCTTCCCACCTCTGTGTATACTTGGATAGCACACCTTCGGATTTTCCACATAGCTATTTTAGTTCTTTTTAAAACACAAAGTATTGTTAAACGCAGGCACTGGTTTGAAAGTATTGTAACAGCTGCTTAGGATGCTGTGGATACTTTTCCAAAGCGGAACTGTGATTCTGAAGAGACTATTTTACATGGTGCATTTGTGTTCCTGCTGGAGGAATCTCACTGCTCCTCTCTGACTGACATACAGCAGGACTCATGCCTAGAAGCTGCTGAGCCTTTCAGCTGCTGTGTTAGATTCTAGTCTCAAAGATAGAGGGAAAAGGGGGGTCTGTTTTCCTTGTGTCGTATCTTTGAGTGTCTAGCCAAGTGTCTGACTCTTACATGTTGTCTAATAAGAATTCAATACTAAACTAACAGTGAACAATCACTTCTGAAAGGATGAATCCATACTTACATAAGTCTGTATCTCTTTATGACACAACCAAAATAAAAACTGTTTATTGTAGACAGAAGGAACACCAAACTTCCTATCCCAGAGGCAATGTTCAACTCCTGACTGCCTGTTTATTCGGTATTTCAGGACTTCTTGGCCCTGCCAAGAGAGATGCATGGCTGCAGTTAAGGGCAGAGATTGAAGGCCTAACAGATTCCTGGCTAACGAGCGCACTTAAGTCTTTATCAATTATTAGTACTAGGTAAGTGGGACTGTGGCCTTTCTACTTGAATTACGTGGAAGATCTAGGTCCAGCAGAGCAATAGAGAAAAACCATTCCAATTGCTAGAAATTCACCACATCCAGTGATTTCTGTGTTCATGTGCTGCATAAAGCATGCACACATGCATGTATGTGTGCCTGTGTGACTGTATGCGTGCCTGTGTGCCTGTGTGGAAACGTGCATGCGTGACTGTGTGGGTGGGTGCATATAAATTTGGGAAGTGATGGCTGGTGGGTAAGATTAATCTTTATTTTTTCTAATTCCATAGTTTTATTTCTGATTAAGGTGAATCAATAAAGACACAGTTAACCAATGTGTGGGTAACATAGACATCAGAAGAGATGTTATCCAGACAGATAGCAGATACATGAAAAGGTTGCTGGAATAAAAGAGGAACCCAGTATTTAGGATATGAAAATAAACTTTCATGTCAAATCTGGCATGTGGTTCCTTCCTGGTCACATGATCAGAAACTTCACCAATAACAGAAAGTACTCATTGGGGGCTTCCACTTGACTTCCTGACCTAACGGGCAGACATGAGCACTCAGTTCAGTTCATGGTGTCACATTCTAATGTAAAGTCTGACAGATGTGAAGTCTTCTGGGTTCAGCTTGGTAGTCCCTGGAATTTGGTCTGTAGAATCTACACAAAAGAAAAAGCTGCCAAGAACTAAGCCTGAGGAGTCAAGCCTGGAACAAAGTTGTCCATTGCAACTGGTTGAAATGTTGGGCTCAAAATGATTTAGATTTTCCTCTGTATCTATAATGGTAATAATTGGGGTAAATGTGTAGAGATCTTAGGAAGGGCATTATAATGCATTATCCAGGAACTGCCTGATGGATAAAGCTGCTTAAACATAGAACTTCCTGGGTCATGATATCTGTAACTGTGACACAGTCGGTCAAATGTCAGGGACTCTGGGACATGAAAACCTTGAAATTGTGTAGAAGATGTAGAGTCATACTCATTTCTCCAAGAATTAAGCCACCAGCTTATTTTTAGATTGTTCTATGAATGACCTTAAAACTATCTCGAACATGTCAACTTAACAAATGAATAGATGAATAGAAATAAAAGGCCTTAGAAAAACAAGTCAATGCCCATCGACTAGTGAGCTATGAAATTTGCTATGATATCCAACTATTCTACCACTAACATATTGGACATTTTCACAACATCCCAAAATGTAGGTAAAACAAATTATTTGATCAATTATGTGTCAGAGTTCTCAGCAAAATTGAGTTATCTTTTTACAATAGTTGTTCTATCATTTAAAAAGTAACTTCAGGTACAGGGGAAAAACAAAAATAAAGACAAAAAGAAAAAAAAAAAAGAAAAAGCCTGGAGGTTGCATTCTACATAGTCAGGAGAAGCCAGCAGTCACTGAAAGAAATTATATGGTAACATCTGTCAGAAGATTTTGCTTGTAGATAATATGAGGATAATAGATAAAAGTATACAAGCCATGGACTCACAAAATCAAGGAAGCAGAATAAGAAATTGTTTACATAGTATATAATTCCTAATGGGAAAATAAATTCACAAATGAAGACAGAACTATCTTTGAATGTGTAATTAATCATCGCTATGTCTCATTTCCTTCTTTGTATTTGTCTTTTACAAGTTTTTTGATGTAGAATGTTGGTAATTTTGAAAGATTACCTAAATACTAATATCACATGAAATGGTGAAAGTCCATTTCAAAGCTACCTCTCCGGATTTAAAAGTCCTGTGTCTGACATCACCCAACTTTGCTCTCACCACATAAGAGTTTAAATGACTTTGGATATCATCTTACTCTGAACAAACGTTATGTCAGAGAATGGTCTCAGTTTGCACGTCATTCTTAACACCCTGCCATTTCAGAGAGCATCTGTCAGCTGACAGCACTCATTACTGAATACTGAAAGAGAACATTTCTTACAGAACTTAGAAACAACAGTGACAATTTTCAATATGTATCAGTAGAAGCTATTTACTACTAGAAAGCAAATATGTACGTTTCATCCTTGTTAGGAGTAACTGTGTAAATGTCTTGGTAACGACAACCCAGCTGATTCCTGCTCTTGCAAAAGTCCTGCTCTACAGCCTAGGAGGTGCTTTCCCCATTGAGAACATTTACAGCGCAACGAAAATAGGTAAGGAGACTATCTGAAGTTCTGTAGGAAATAGAGTCACATCTGCAGGATTGTACAATATATATACACATATATATGCACACACACACACATACACACACATATACATACATACATACATACATACATACATACACACACATTTTATATATATATATATATAATTTGTTGATTCTCTTTAAACCAATTTACCTATTACAATTTTCCTATTACCACATGCAGAAAATTTGGGAAAGCTTCGAATAACAAAATCATGTGTAATGCATGATACATGTGTATGTTTTACAAGAACTAGTGAAATGCTGGCTAGTGAAATGCTGAACACTATATGTAGGCAATCCTCACTCATTCTGGCCACACACAACATCACACAATATTCTAGCATATGTTGTTTGAGTAATATGTGCTCCAGCTATAGCATTTAATAGTTCAATTAATGTGGTATACAGAATTACGTCTTTGCCTATTCAGTAAAGCTGATCTAAGGTTTAAAGAAAGGACACTATTTTGGTAGCAACAGGAGTTCTCAGATTAGTTCCACAGCAATCAAAAGATAATTTCAGAAACAAGAGAAAATTTTCCATAGAGAAGAATATGTAATTTTATTATTCATTACCTGAGTGTTTCTCCCCAATACATAGTAGGATTCAAATAACTATAGCCTGCTTCCTAGGTCATGTCTGATTGTGGATACGTCTTCTTCCTTACATATGATATGCAGTGTCTGACTCCCAATTGCCATTCAAAAACAAAACTTCATCGAGTTCTACCATCTTGTCAGAATTAAAAGAAGACAGCACATTTATTCCACTGTCTCAGGTGGAAACTCCTGGGAATAGAAATACGTTGTGCAAAATGCACTAAAGAGCAACAAAATTACCTGTTGCACTTTGACAAGCTCAAAATTCTAAAATCTCCCATACAACATAACTAGCCCTAGGTCTCATGAAGATTGCAGGTATTGGGGAGAACAGTTAGGGAGAGTTAAACTTTCTCAAAGTGTGTGCCACGTTATCCTGTGCTCGACAAATCAGAACCAAGATTCCAATCCCATACACTGTTCTGTGAAGATATATACATGATATCCTTAGGATTAACAGATGTGATTTTTCCTTTTGACAACACAAATGATTTTTCTACCCAAATAAACATTTCGTTTACTTAAAGGATGATATTCTTCCCATTGGCCAATTTTTTAAATATTTAATCTGAGAAAATCATTACTATTTTCCCCTTGTCGCTAGTATTATTTTAGCATTCTAAGCTAGCAGATTAAGAAGAAAAATGTCAAAAATAGCAATGGCTGCAAGAATATTCTTAGAATGAAATTCAAGAAAAGATGCCAATATTGTAAAGATAAAACATGGCTGATGTTTCCATGGCAACATCTCATGTTCACTCATTGACGCTGTCGCATATGCTGCTGCTGTGTGTATGCTACTGTGTGTGCACTGCTGGGGTCACTTGCACAGACAGAATGCTTGAGACAATTAAACTGACTGTATCCACTCCCACATACTTTTTAATGGAGTTACTTATCAAGGTAAATCTATTAGTATTTCCTCTTTCCTCAGAGATGAGACTTCAGTTTTCCCCCAACAACACACCAACTGACTTACCTACATGGAATATAAATTACATGAAATTGGATCTTAGAATCGAACAAATGCTGTAGATACTTGCATTTGCCTGTGAAGTTGTTTTCTACTACTATTTCTGTGGAGTTAAAACACACTAACATTTTATCAGGGTCAAATTCTCAAGCTTACTCTCTATCTTAAAACATCAAAAATGTTTGTTTTCATGACCTATCCTAAATTAAAAGCAATTTTATTATTCAAATACATGTGTTGATTTGTAAATGCAATGGTCATAAGCTCCCTCCAATGTTGTTCAAAAGACATTAGTTGAGCACTCTGAACCTTTAGGTTCATGAGTACCATGGCCCTAAGAATAAACGATGCATTGTTTTTCAGGCAAGGAAAGCTGTTTTGAGCGTATAGTGTCCAGATTTGGCACTAACATAACTTATGTTGTGATTGGAGATGGCCGAGATGAGGAACACGCTGCTAACCAGGTAACTCCGCTCTGAACTGTATCTCATTTATCTTCCAGGAAAAGAAAGTTGCTTTGAGCGAATAATGCAAAGGTTTGGCAGAAAAGTAGTGTATGTTGTAATTGGGGATGGTGTAGAAGAAGAGCAGGCAGCGAAAAAGGTAACCTGTCTCAAACAATGTTGGTGTGGCACCTCTAGAGCAAGCCTTCTTGTTTGCATCCCTGTAGTTTGGCCAATTGGCAGCTTGACAAGTGATTGACACTTCAAGTCACAAATCAATAAGAGCATGAGAGAGTCGATGTGGACCTGCAAATAAACCATTTGGAGTCTAGCATTTTATGCCTGGAATTTGATAGGAAATACAGAGAAATTGATTGATATTTATTCAAGCACGTGGAAATAAGAAATATAAACATTTAGAACATATATTTAATACATGCACATATACTCAAACCAAGCACACAGTGCTGGATAAACAAACTCATGGAATTTATCAGAGGAAGTTTAGCAGCCTTGAAGTATAATCAGTAAGAGTAGCCCTAGACTCAAATTCCCCATGTTCCTTGTGAGAGGCTGAAGACAGATCAGCCCCTTCATACTAAATGCTGAAGATCAACTTGATAGTTGAAGGAAAACTCATAAGAAGCCTTAAGGAGCATGCTTAGAATAGGTCCATTCTTATTCATTGGTGTGAGTCAATGTGCCTCACATCTACAAGTTTCTCATTGAGCGCCAAGCAGCTGGCTTTGAGCATGTGCGAGAGATGTGGTAGGCCCTACTTATTTAAATAAGTTTTATCTGACACATATTTCTGACAATGAACCAGGTCAGTTGTTAAATCACTAAGTTATTGGTTCAGCATCAGAGATATGAAGTTTGTTCTCCAGACCAGACAGCACAACACTACACCCACTACTTCCTTCACAGAAGAGCCACAAAAGAAACAAAACTATAAATGAAAATGTAGCTTATAAGGAGAACACCATCCTTATTGTCTACAGGCAGTTTAAATCAATAAACTTCTAATAAAGCTGCCTCTAAATACGTGGATCAGAACGTTGACCCAATTTCTATTTTCTATAGAATAATCAGAATGAATAGTTTCATAGAAGAGTTCATGACCCTAACAGAAGGCTAACCCAGTCAGCTCAAGCTCAGCAAACTGGAGGAAGGGAATGGATTCTACTTCAGAAGGTCACCAGCAGCTACCCTCTGGAATCCCTGTGCTTTTCTATTCTGCTAAGAGAGCTGGTGACATGAAGCTCCCTGGGTGTTGATTAGCAGAGGCTGTTACTTAAGACAGCACACTGTTCCCAAGGACGTTCTGTACAAGGTCAGCCATGCAGCCTCAAGCAGCCCAGCCAGCCCTGCTGCTGTTGCTGCCTGTGATTTTTAAGGCACACACAGTTGCTATCTTTTCTGGAGTTTATGAGTGTTTGGATTCATGTGGTTTTAGTTTTCCATGTTGGCATCACAATCACACATAGTGAACACCAAACCCTTGAACAAACACTAGAATGTCTTTAGGCTATGTGCAATTTATTTCACTTTAGGGCAGAACAAATAAAGCTCACTTTTCCAAGCCAATGACAATACATTTGTTAAGAATTAAGACTTATCTAGTCTGTGCTAGTTCTCCACACTGGTAATTACACTCTGGATTTGTCCTTTGGTTTAAAGCTCATGCTTCGGAGAAATAGCTTGACTCCAAATGGATCAAAATTTCAGCTAGAATGCTGTTTTCAAATGGTTGTTTAAATAGGTAGAGTTTGGGTGATGGGTAAAAGCTATGATCCCATTTGGAAACACAGGTGGCTGGTTTCCCTAGCACCCAGAAATGCATGCTTTTCTCTGACCATAGACATAATCGCATGTGTAGGCATTCTGAGTACTGTTTTTGTTATTACAAATAGATCTGAGCTGAAATGAAAAACATTACCCTTCTCAAAATTCTTTGCTCTAATTGAACTAAAATCCATGTTTGTGAAATTTAAAGAGAAATTTAAAAAAAAACAAATCTTAGCAAAAAGAATAACCATACTCTCCTCTCAAAATATACGAGGTGAGATGTATATGTAAATTTTAAATTTTCTATAAGCCACATTCAGAAGTAAAAGGAAACAAGTAGAATAAGCTTCAATAATATTTATTAATTGGCTCAATCTGTATAGACTATTATATATCAATATCTAGTCTATATAAGAATTATTGACATAATGTCTATATTACTATATTGGTCTTATTCTGGTTTGAAATTCAGAATTTATTTTAAATTGAACTAAACATATTTTAAATTCTCATAGCTGCATGTAACTAGTAGCTACCATACTTAGCAGCAAAGAATTATGTAGCAATAATGATAATGATAAAGCTTCATGTTAAAATAAGATATCACTTCCATATATATAATTTCCACTGCACACAAGACTACACTCCATTTATATATGTCTTAGAAGATGTCTTAAGTTCAGTCTAACGATTAATGCTATTGTTTTGTAATTGAAGTATATTTTTCATTATTATCCAATGAGACTTCCTCAGGTATTATTTCCAATCAATCTTTTCTATAAACTTTGAATACTACATCTGTAGTGCATACTAGCACATCTCTGAAAGGCCACAAAGCAGCATACCATCTAATATAATGTCTACCCACCTGGGGATGGTATGTATGTCCCTGTTAAAACTGTGTCCTCTCCCTCTCTGCCTTGTACTTGTGAAATAAACCAAGCCATCTGCTGGCTTAAGTTATTATTTATCTGAGACAAATAAAAATATTATCAATTCTAATATTTTTATTTTATTTAATCTAGTTCCAAGTTGTTTTTTACATAGATAAGAATCCACTCTTTTTTCTCTCAAATTGCCAAAGGCTATGAGTTTAGGAAGTTAGTGGTCTAAATTTATCTCATTTTTAACCAAGATATTGACTTTTAAAGGTACTATGCTGCTGATAGTTGTTGTCCCTCAGCCATACAGGATTTGCCTTCCCCAATGTTGACCTTAGTAACACTGATTTATAGAGCAGAGATTCAACTAGCTAGGAAACTCAGTATCGGATGTTATACCATTAAAATCCAGTTCAGATCTATTTCTCTATTCTTTTGAAAATTCCACATTGGTACTATCAGACTTCCACCTGTGGATGGCCTCTATTAAACTCCCTCCCATGAACATGGGTGAATACCACATCATGGTGTGTGCTCCTGTCTCCATAGGGTGATGGTTATGATCTGTCTCCATTCCTCATTTCTACCCTCTACTTCTCCCCTCTCTCCTTGTCTTGACCACACAGCACAACATGCCCTTTTGGAGGATATCAAGCCACTCGGACCTCTTGGCTCTACATCAAGCACTGGAATTAGAGTATTTGTAACTGTATTCTCTATCTGGGGATCCATTTATTTTTTTTATATTTCAAGTACACTGAATTTTTATGTGTGATCCAATGCCACTGGCTTCTTCTACACATATAAATGGTCTTAATGGATGAAATCATACTTGGAATGAAAACTCCAGAGTGAAGAATTCAGGTTGCTGAATGGAATTAAACTTTAGTGCTACAGAAAGGAAGCTCTATGGTCTTATTATCTTTACAATACTTTCATGGTTTAAAGAAAAAAATCTGTGGCAGTTGCTGACACATATTAAGTGAGTCCTAAGAGGAATTAACAGCTTTAGTAAAGAACTCGAACTCTCCCAAGCCACAGCACCTGTTCTGCCTCTGACAAGGTGATTGAAAACATTCCTCAAAATGGGAGCTCTTCTCAACCCTGAGGTTTGAATCTGACTTATAGCCTACCTAGCCCAGAAAATCTGAATCAAAATGCACTCAGACTGTATAACGACAGTCCTATCTAGACCTGTAATTTGTGTAAATTATTGATGGAAATAATTTACTGTGACTTTATTAGCAGCTGACTCTGAAAGTGGATGCAATTTTTCTTTTATTTGTCGGGGTGGGAAAGGGGCTGGGGAAATGGGAATATAATATTGTCTCTTTTTTTAAGTTTGGCAAAGAGAATGTTCATACTGATGTGTTGTGCCTTAAAGACAAGACAGAATTTGTGTATTACAATGTAACTTTGGTTAAAGTCTCTGTAGATAATGAAAGACAAAAACAAACAAACAAAAATGAAACAAAAAAGCAAACAAAGAAAAACATTTGTGAAAATTCTTCACATGACCAAATTTAAAATTTAAGCTATCAGTTTAATATGGAATCATTGACAAATTGAGAATTTGTTAAAATGAGAAACCAGTAACAATAATAATACAAGAAAACTTGCATTTTAATTGGGTTATAAATGATTCCAATAATCAGTATATATCAATTATCTGAACATGCAATCACAGGTTTGGGAGACTATGGGTTCTTTATTTAGAGAGTGAAATATATATATATCAAGGCCTCAAGTATGCTTTCTCACAGTTTTCTGGAAGGAAATTAAGAGCCATATTCATGTCAACATACCCAATTTTAGTTTAAGACTGGATACGTGCCAGTTGCTAAGAGGACAATATCATGGTGCACATTTAGCAAATATCATCAAAGTCATTTTAGAACATGATATGGAATGAATGTAGCTTAAAACACACATTGAGTAGGCATAGTAAAGTGCATTTGTCTTCCATGCTGTTGCAAAAGTGATCAGTGATAGAAAGCAGCTATACCAGATAGCTCTCAAGGAAAAAACTCTGAATCTATCAATTTTTTTATATAGTATCATAAGTTAATCATCAAACAAGCTATATCTCAACAACATTGCCAGATCACAATGGTAAAAGGCTATTCATGCTCCTTGAAATACATCAGTCCAGAGTCTCCCCATTACAAACAGGAATACATTAGTTTATTGGTTTCTTCCTGTATGGTTGTTCAACAATGCCTGCGTTCATTGCCCAGAGAGCCTGGCCTCATTGTATCTGCCTGTCTTTTTGTCTTATTAGTGTATAATTCATATTGGTAACACAATACAGATTCTCCTCTCATTTGTTATGATATGGTTTGCTTTGTGGAAATTTAAGACTTCAAGAAGGAAAATATTCTAATGGTATGAGCACCTGAATCTCTCTACATTCTGAATGGCATAAGATGGATCCTAGAGTCCAGCTCTTAGTCAATGCCCCTCATCTCAGGCTGATTCATAAGAGATCATCATCTGAGACTTTTGCATAAGGCTTTGCTCAAAGATCACAGTGAAGACTCTGGAGGGCTGTATTTCTTTAGAGAATGATGTGGCTCTGTTTACAAAGGGTATACAGATGATGAGATAACTCTGCATAAGATAGAGACTTCTTATGTCAATCCTTACTTTCTAAATGTGGCTTTTGGTTATCCTTTCCCCAATGTTGTGTTGGCAAATTATGGTTGGGATATTTTAATACTAATATTGTTAATGATAAATTTTACACTTCTTCTGGTCTTCAGCTTGAAAGTGGTTAAAAAGTCAAAGATTTTCTTTTTTATTACTGGCACTCATTTCTATTTAGTACTATGGTAAAACAAAGTTAGTTTGGCACACTGCCAGTTTCTTTCACTGATAGACTTTGTGCCCCTGCATCAAAAGTTATAATTCTTCTGGAAATCTGATTAACAAGGTTTCTTAGACTGCTCCACTTGAGGGACAGAGAGGCTCACCCTTTCCAAGTTCATCAAGGACTGACTTTTGGCCTGCTCCTCCCTGCTCCTGCTTATCCATCCCCCTTTTCCAGCCCTGAGTATCTGTCAAAGGGAGGTAGCCAGTGTAATACCTACAAGTGAGGTTGATAAAAAGCAGACTGTCAAGCACAGCAATGGTAACAGCCAGAAAGCCATGGCCCAGCCTGGTCATGTGACTTTGAGCAGGCTCAAACTACAACTCTTCTCTTCTCACCTTAGGACAAGAAAATGCTCTACCTTTCTAAAAACACATCAGCCAAACAGCAATAAAAATAAATAAATAAAATAAAAAACCAGGCCTGCAGGCAGTTGCTACATTCTATTTTTATGTAGAATATCGTGCCTTATTGTAAGTGAGTTTAAAAACTGTTCTCCAACTCATATGGGGTTTAGGCTATTACAAATTCAAGCTTGGTGTGATACTAGAAAAAAAATAACTGCCTTATACTGTACCTTAAAAATATCAAGACCCTATCACTTGAGTAAGAAAATAGGTGGCCTAGCTACAACATTATAGCATACATCTAAGATGATAAAAATCCTGAAGAAATGTGCAAATCCAATTCCGAGGTAAAAATAAAATTTTAAGATTATATGGTCTGTGCACAAAAATAGGTACTAACTGTCTGGTGAGCTAAGATCAAAATAGCTTCAACATCATGCCCCACTGTGAAGTTTTTTTGTAAAACCTACTTGTTTGTGACAAGCCTACATTCTCAGTGAATATGGCATTTAGTATTTTTTTCAACACAAACCTAAGCCTCATGAGCCAAAGTTGCACTTTGACTCTCTGCTATGGTGGCGTTATAGGGAATCTCACAGTCAAAGTCAAGGGTTTCTGTTATGTATTAGTAAAGTATAGATTATTGGGGCCTACATAATTTAAAGAAATGTAAATTAATATTAAAAGCTTGTAAAAATATGTACATCTTTACTATTTCTCAATAAATACCTTTGCAACTCTATACCTTGTTTTCATTATTTCATCTTGTAGAGATTTTAGTGTGCATGTATTGCTTGACTCTAGATCATGTGGAATTCATATTTAGGTCTCTGAATGTAGTGTTTCATCTTCTTATGCAAAAGAAGACACACTGAACTATAATACATTAAATGTCCCTAGTGAATACAGTAAAGTGCTGGAGATATGGGCTGCATGTAGGAATCTTCATTCATTGAAATATAATCATAATACAACCAAAATGTGTTCATAATCAGAGAGTCTATTTGAAACTGTAGACACTTATTATATTTATTTATATTTGTATGTCTGAATGTGTATGGGTGCGTACTTGCCATGTCCCAAATGCACATGTGAAGGGAAAAATCTCGCGCGAGGGTGGCAGCTCGGGCTGTGCAACCGCAACCAGCCAGCCTGCACTGCAGGAGCAGCCTGCAGGGATGCAGCGGCACAGGCGGCCCACAGAACTCGGCAGAGGGGTGGCCCCCCGGTGGCGGGTGAGGTTTCCACATATGTGAGAAAGTCTCAGGCTCAAGGTGGAATCTAAGATATGAAAGTTTTATTGTCCATGATGATGGTTGGATCTGGATGTGAATGCACCCCCAAGAGTCTGGGGAGAGCTGGCTTATATAGAGGGTGGGAAGGAGGAGGGACCAGGGAAGAATGACTTAATTATCTAGGCCCCCTGGCCTTATTAATATGTAAATCTCTTGAGGCAGAGGCCTGTTTGTCACGCCCTCTACCTGTGTCTTACGTGACTGACAGTATAGGTTAAATGGAGATGAGACCGAATGTCAGGGCCCTGGGTTCTGGGGGTGTGGCCAAACACCTGCAGTCTCGGGGGTTTCAGGCCCATGTCAACTCAAGATGTCCTTCTACAGCCCGACACGTGTGGAGTCAGACAGCGACTTGTGGGAGTCTATTCCACAATGTGAATTTGAACTCAGGTTGCTAGGTTGTCCCTTAACCTGCTGAACCATCTTGTCAAAATATTAGAATATTTAAAGAAAGTCTGTTTAGATGAACATGATTGTAACTGTTATAATTTATGGCTCAATGTTATTAGTATCTTCCAAGAGAATAGAAACATGTTTTCATAAAATGAATTTAGCAGTTTGTTATCACATGTGTTGTATTCATTCCTTCACAAGAACATTGTTGACATGAAGACGGAAGACAAGTTTCAGAACTGATTTTACTCATTCACAATTTCTTAAGAAAATGTTACCCTCCAAATTAACAACATTTAGAGGGAATTATGTGAGGATTATCCAACAAACCCTACACTATACCAAAGTTCATTAAGATGTACAGAACAGAACAGATGTGCTTAAAATTAATTGACTTCTTTCTGGTCTTAAACATCTAATTACCAGTGAAAGGTGAGGTTTTGAAAAATATTAAATTCCCTATCCCCTGGGCTCCAAACAAGTTTGTCTCCTTTGCCTGTTCAGTATACCTGCATGGATAAAAGATCTCAAATAGATGCACACAAACCAGAGTATCTACTGCTACCCAGCCACCTCACATCTCTGCACAATGGCCATCCAGGCCACAACCATCATTTTCCACTTGCATCCTGCTTGGGCCTGCAGACCCCTTGAGTACTTGTCATTATAGCAGCCAGAGCAATCCTTTGAATCGAAACATGCTCCTATGTTCCAAGAAGTGTCTACCCAACTGCCTTCCAGCCTCATTCAGCATAAGCACCATTGTACAATGGTTTATGTAGCCTAGGTGAATGGTCCAGTGATTGTAAGTAGTTCATCTTCACATTCTACCCTCCTCCAGTCAATTTCTTACTGCTGAATATTCGTATTCTTGGCACACACTGGCAACCAACTTCTGCAGAGACTCGCTCCAGTTTTTCCTCCTGTAGAAGATTTTCACCACAGACATCTCCACTGCTTATGTTCTAAGACTCCTTCACGTCTTTCCCCCAATACTATCTTGTGGCTAACAAGGCTCTAATCTCTAAAATTGGATGTGTCTCCGAGTTTGTATTGAATAGCATTAACCCTTCACTTTATCTAATGTGGTGTTACTTGGCCATTCCTAGATATGCTCTGTGAAGCTTCAGATCTTGGTTTGTTTTCCTCTGCATCTCTGAAGATTACTGTCACATAGTAGGCAATCAAGAAGTGCTTGTAGGGTGTACGTCTAAAGCATAGAGCACATGTACATGATCATCTAAAATTAGCATGATTTCCAATGATACAAGAAGACTGGATGGAGGGAGACAAACAAAACATGCAGGCTAGGTTAGGTGAGACACAATACCATTTACAGTGTGTTGGAATGCTTGGTAACCTACTGCTGTATGAAATAACAAACGATATGTATAAGTAATAACACTTAAAAAGTGGTTGTACATAAACTAAGCATGACCTGCTGGGTTAAAAAGAAATCTCATGGTCCATGAATTGCTTCCTAAGTTTATGGCATGAAGTGTTTGCTCACTTCTGTGTGACAGGGTCTCCCCTTGTCACCCAGGTTAGCCTACAACTAACAGTGTGTATCAGGTTGGCCCCAAACTTCTGGTAATCCTACTGCCTCAGCTTCATAAGTGCTAGAATTATAGGCATAAGCCACCAAATTAACTTAAAAATATATTAACTTTAAAAAATCACTGTACTTGGCTAAATTAAAGTACTTCAGAAAAATCATGCACTAAACATATCCCTCTGCAAGTTCTATGTGTCATAATTCTGAATCAAGTTTTTTTTAACTCTAGCATTTTCTTTATATTTCTTCTTTACTTTACAGATTAATATTCTTTTTTATTTTTATTTTTATTTTTTATTGGATTTTTTATTTACATTTCAAATATTATCCCCTTTCCTAGTTTCCCTCCCTGGAAACCTTCTATCCCATCCCCCCTCACAAACATATACATGCACATATTCAAATACGTGCATATACAAGTAATTTTAAAACATCTTGGGTCATCATTGTGGAAATAGGAATGATACCATCAATGTATTGTGTGTGTGTGTGTTTGTGTGTGTGTGTGTGTGTGTGTGTGTGTGTGTGTGTGCAGGCACACATGCACCATGTGTGTTGTTTGGGGTCTGCTGTTGATCTAATATTGTTTTTGTATCCTCAGCTGAATCCTAGTTTCCAAAAAGATAAAGTTGGGAGTACTTTAGCTAGATTTATAGCCTGGAGGAATTCAAATGCCTCTGTGAACTTCTCCTTCAGGGACTTACACATGTAAGGCCTCGCCAGCTTATGCCTGCCTGCGAACAAATATGACAGTAATTTATTTGGCAAAGAAATAAAACATTAGCACAAAGCTCCACAACAGAATGACACATGATTTAGTCACTTAGATAGACTAATGTATTCAAAAATATGAAGATCATTAAAATAGAAGTTATGACAGAATAAATTATTTTATGAGAGTAGGCAGTAATCTCTGGTACGTGATCAGAAAGCAAAATGAATAGCAAATACACATCTGTAAAATCAGCATATCTGGGCCACTAAGCTATTTCTCTATTAATTTTACCACAGTTAAGGAGTAGGATAGGAGAGACACCAGAGGGGAAAGGGGTAGAAGGATATTTTTTTTAAATGTCACTGAGAGCTTTGCCAACAGCAAATGGGAACCCACCTATTTTTCCAAACAATAAAACAGCCAAGATATCTGAGTTTAGGAAGGTGAGGACTGTTTGTGACCTATCTCAGGATAGATTAAACATATTGCTTTGCCCTATCTAAATTATGGTGTTACAGATGAGTCCTGGCACCTCATTTTATGTCACCCTGAGTACTCCATCCTTATATTTTCTCTGACCCAGAGACTGCACTATCTAGTCATCTATGGGATGTAGTTGAGAGTTTTCTTAGTTAAGTACATCCTATAAGTACTCCCTTACTTTTATTTCATTGAAAACCAGTTTACCTATAACACTAGGTCATTGCAGTCCTATTTATAGGCAAGCAAAATGCTAGAGGAAGGGGTGCTATTAAAGAATGTGAAATCTCCAACATTCCATGTAACAAGAACCCACATGGCAGTTAAAAGTTTGCTATCACAAACCATGGTTTCCTCCCAAAACTTCATGTGCTGAACTGTTGGGAGCCGACTCCTAGCCGAAAGCAGCTATCATCTTTACAGCCATCTTGAGCCATATACCCTGACAAGAGACTTATTTTCAACAGCCTGCAATAGCTGAGCGCACTCTGATGAACATCTTGTTACACTGTTTAGTGCCCCCAGCTGCAAGGTGCTCCTGGTATCCATGGCTACAAGGCACGTGACGTAGTGGCTTCAGTTGACTTTGTCCACGAGGGCAAGTCACGTGGTAAAGGGTATAAATACCCAGGATTTTCTTTCTATGTGTAGGAGGTAGAAGGTAGAAGGTGGAAGGAGTGAGAAGGTGGGAGGTGTCAGGAGACAGAAGGAGTGAGGAGAATATAGAAGAAGAGAGGAGAATAAAGAAGAGACTTGAAGAGACTCCACCAGACTCTGTCTTGTATCTATCTTTTGCGTCTCTTGCCCCTTTTTCCCCCTTCCTCTATCCCCACTGTCTCTCTTGCTAGACCCTGACCTGCGGACCGGAGCAGCAGAACAAGCCGGCCTTTACAAAGTAACAGAACCTGAGGGCCATTACAAAAGAAACGGCTGTTACACTGAACATCTAAGCCCATGCTGTAAAAGTAAAGAGAAATGACTGGAGTTTTAAGAAATAGAACTTGCTGAGAGTCCATTGTGTGTATACACTGGAAAAGGATTCAGTCTTGTCTGTAGGTGTGAGTTAGACCTCTGGGGACAAAACTGGTTACTTTGAGAGTGAATTTTTATAAAGCAAGTTTGCTCTCTCTGTTAATTCTCTTCATCCTCTCTTCTTACAAGTTCTGTGTGTCTTTCTCTGTTTGTCTCTCTCTGTCTCTCTCTGTTTGTCTCTGTCTCTGTCTCTCTCTGTCTCTCTGTCTCTCTGTCTCTCTCTCTCTCTCTCTCTCTCTCTCTCTCTCTCACACACACACATACACATCATT